TTTTTATGTAGATTTTACTAGAAACAAGACAAAAATTCTAAATTCTAAGTAAGAAAAACTTTTTTCCCTTTTGCATAAATCACATACAGTTGAATTATTAGCCCCCCCTTTTTATTTATATATTTCCCAAATTATGTTTACCAGAGCAAGGACATTTTCACAGTATGTCTGATAATATATACTTTTTTTGTCTAGAGAAAGTCTTATTTGTTTCATTTCGGCTAGACTAAAAGTAGTTTTTAATTTAAAAAAAAAAAATTTAAGGTCAAAATTGTAACCCCTTTAAGCAATTTTTTGTCAAGCTTTTAAATGTCACTTTAAGCTGTATAGAAGTGTCTTGTAAAATATTATGTGCTGTCATCATGGCAAAGATCAAATAAATTAGTTATTAGAAATGAGTTTGTTAAAACAATTGTGTTTAAAAATGTGTTGAAAAAATCTCTCTGTTAAACAGTAATTGGAAAAAAAATAAACAGGGTGCTTAACAAATCTGACTTTAACTGTAAATGCAATAATTAAATACAATTCTTTAGCTCTTGGTCAACTATAATCCAGACTCAAAATGCTGAAACGATATATTGTGCAGCCCTAATATATATACAGCTTGAGAGCCACGTATTTTTGGACAAAGCATGATAGATAGGTTCCGTACCACTGTGCTAGATCTTTTACGTTTCAGTTAACAGATGGTAAAAAAAAAAAAAAAAAAAAAAGATGTACTTGCTGAAAGGATCGTGTGAAGTTTTCCCGGTGCTGTTCTAGGTACTCTAGTAGTAAGTTCGAAGCATTTATTATAAAAAAGAAGCAGAAAAACAAAAAAATCCAAAGCACTTTGTCTTATCCAAAAGAGCGAGCTAAAAAGCCTTGATTCATATTCTTATAAATAGGCAATGTAGGAATATTACAAGCTTAACACATCTTTATTAAATCTGCTTGTATTAATATTAATATTGTATTTCTATTAATATTATGTTAATAGAGGATTCCTGAAGAGGTTGAGACAGAACATATGAATAAAGAATAACATTTAACAAAACATAATAGTATTAAGTAAAAAATAGTTTACTGTAGTTTATTTACTATGGCTCTATTTGAATTTATATTTCTTAGAAGACAAGTCATTTTAGAAAGAACTTCAAATGGCAGACACTAATGTTCTATTAATGTATATGTGCTGGTATTAGCTAATAATCACATGTTCTTGTTTTTTCTCCAGGAGACCGAAATCAAGTATAACCAGCTACGCCAAAGGCTATCAGAGGAAACAGCTACTGACACAGAGGAAAACAAAGGTAGAGCAGCTTTTGTTCTGCCATGAAACACCAAAGTACAACAGAGATTTAACAGCCCAGCAAACATTTGTTTAATAGACGTCTAATAGACATCTAAATGTAGACAGCTTGGCTAAAACAAGGCTAAACTTGGGCTGTCAGTGAAAATCTAATAGACCTCTAAGAACAGCCCAAAACTAGACTAGTCGTCAAATAGACAGATTAAACAGACTTTATATGTTTAGTCTTTCATTTCTGTTTATTTGATGACTAGTCTAGTTTTTACTTATTCTAAGACGTCTATTAGATTTTTATTGACAGCCCAAATTTAGCCTTGTTTTACCCGAGCTGTCTACGCTTAGACGTCTATTAAAAACAAAAAATACTTGCTGGGAGCAATCATCGCTAACTGTGTTCTTGCCTCCGTAGGTGCATAAAAGCCTGTACCAATACACACCACATTGACTAGCAGTGAGAGAAAATATCTCTTTATCTGTGTCAATATATCCATATTATTGTTTTGATTGGTATAAACAGTCCATATTAATATATTTCTTTTTAATAGTATCAAGTTTAACTCATTATTATTTGTTTGTTGTGTTTTTATCTCTTTTTTCTCATTATCACAGATTATTTTATGAACATTATTATTAGTAGTAGTGCCTGGCCACTGTGAATTCTTCCTTAATATTCCTGCAGGCTACATTTATTATACAACATAACAGACATGCTTGTGTAAACACTGTTATTTTTATCAATTAACAAAACATCCCATGCAATGGAACTCGTGTTTAATTTGCGTAGTATTATTTGCGTAGAGCAGCAGAGTCGAGAAATGATTGCAGACGTGCAACACATTAAGGGCATTTAAACAGAATAGACTTATAATAATATTGTTATTACACTTCATGATTATAATACATTTACATGTAGTCCCTCACTCTATATATTTAGCATAGTTTCTGACTTGTGCAAAATAGGTTTGTTGCATGTATCATTTAGATTATGAAGAATTTAGGTCCTACTTTTGCTTTAATGAATACTGTGTTTAATAAAATACTGTGCGTTTACTGCTTCTAATCTAGGATTGCCTCTTATGCCGAATAAGCAGAAAAAATAAGTTAACTCATGAAAACAGATTTTGTCATGTCGATATAAAGAGAAAACAACTTTTATTATGTTAGGGTTAGAAAATTTAAGATGCGGTCACAGTGGGCTTTCCTCCCATAGACTTCCATTCATACACACGCGAATGTAGTGTAATGAGTGTAATGTTCGTGACTGGTTTTACCACCTTGACTTCCATTACAATGACATTTTTTGATTGCAAAGCTATGACAGCAAATAATCATCCATTCTTGATTGTTGCTGGTTTTCCTATTGGGAAGAGGTTAAATTAGCAATTTTTACAGTTGATCATTAGTTGATATGTCTAAGAAAAACTAAATAAGCAGCTCAGCTGTCACAACATGGTAAACTTAGTAAGTGTATTTATGCACACACACTATAATCTGCCCTTTTACTCCACAGAACTCCATATAAAATTTCAGAAACTTTTTTGCACAACCGCTGAAGAGTCAACGCTGCCAACTGATGATCAACAGTAAAAAAAAATACTCAATTTACCTCTTACCAACAGGGAAAACCACCTACAATCAAGAATGCATGATTATATGCTGTTGTGGCTTTGGAATTCAATAGGCCACAAAAATAACAAAAGGGTACACAAGGTTTAACATACAAGAAAATAAAGCTTTACAATCCCTTGAGGGTGTTTTAAATTGAGTAAATGCAGGGTTTCTGCATATATCATAATGTCAAATTTAAGACTTTTTAAGACCATTAGGTATTAAATTTAAGACCTATATCACAACGTCATTTCCCAGAGATTTTGCTGTGTAAAAATGTGCTGAATAAGTTGGTGGTTCATTCTGCTGTGGTGACCCCTGATAAATAAAGGGACTACGCCGAAAAGAAAATGAATGAATGAATCACAACATCAAAAAAAAAAAAAGCGCATACACAAAGAGAAAATGCAAAAATCAAATTAGTGATAAGAAAAATTAATTCAAATTGAACAGTACTGGAGACAGGTTAGAACATCTTAAGGCTTATTTATACTTTCGCCTGAAGCTGCATCAGCTCTTTAAAATGACAGGGGCGGTAAAAAGAAAGCCACCGTAAAGTCAGACGGATAAACAGAAGTGAAAATTTCCAGAACTACATCATATTAATATCCTTCAATATTTTTTAACTGATTATTTTTTACAATTTTTTATATAACATTCAAGATTTTTTTTAATAAAACTTTGATGCATCACTTGCTTTTGTTCATATCTCAGACAGTTTTACCTATTAATATTAAATATTAATGGCAACAGAACATGGGTTGCTCTACAATTATATTTTTTATTATGGCAAGAATAAAAGCAAAAAAAGTACTCTTACTAAAAAATACTGATGTTTTTTATTTTGCTCACTCAACTATTCACACATTACTGGCTGGTTAGTTTCTGTCCTCTAATTATAAGCTAAAAAGGCAATGGACATCGGAAAAATAAAACCTGTGCAAAAATATTTAAGACCTAGAACAGCGAATTTAAGACTTTTTAAAACCCAGATATGTCAGTATCATTGTAAAGGCTTGGCTTGCCAGAGCCTTGAATTTTCTAACTTTCTGTTCTTTTCTTTATTTCAGATAAAAGTTAGTGAAGCGAAGCTGTCCTTCTGTTTATTGAGATTGGAGGACACACAGAGACACTCAGCTTCTCCTCCAACTGCAGACAGACAGACTGAGACTGAAAGACCTGGAGATCTGGAGTTTGTTCGCTCCAAACATCTGTCCATCTGCACACCAGCATAGAGATAAGAGCATATCATGCTGCTCACAGAAACAAGTTTCATCGCCTCTCACTTCACATTCAGAGGATAAAGAAGAAAAAAATAGTGCTGTCCTGATGAAGCAGGCTGAATGGAGAAGAAAAGCACAGCATTTGAGGGCAAACTTGAGCATTGATCTGTAAAACTCCCCCAGTTGAATGATTGTTTTTCCTGAAGTTTGATTGGGTGGCATTAATCATTATTAGCCAATGAAAGTCCAGCATGAGTGGTTGGTAAGGTAGTGCCACAGATCTCACAAGCAGTTAGTTCACATAAACTGAATGCCAGACTAGTGTTAGGCATGCGGTGTATGTGACAGTGCCTGATTTGACAGGAGCGGCGAGTGGTGTTGAAAGTCCTGTAATGCTAGAACAGGTGATTAAATGCATGTGGAGAATACTAACGGCGAATGAAACTAGCGCGAGGATGATTGTGGTGGTGTCTCTCCTCATTCCTCCTCTCTTAATAAACCACATGCTATTTAATGAAGCTACTGAAAGCGTTTTCTCGGGCTTGTGGCCATGGGAAAAAGCAGACCTTTTGTAATGTCGTCGGGTTGGGGCTGATGTGACACTTTCAGCTCTGCCCGTCTTTCAGATTTACTTGGTTTTTAAGAATGAAGTTAAATAGAAAGAAGCTTCAGTGCAGGAACTTGATGAAGACCCTTAACGGTCAATTTTAAATGTAATGTTTTGTACAATTATGACCAACACTGCATCTCTTACAGAGACTCAATTTATTATTTTGTTTTCTTCTTTTGCATCTAAAGCGTTCAGTCATGTATTATTTTAACAGAAACTACTAAAAAAAAGAAAGGAGAAATAAAAGACTGCAAGGTATCCTTTAATATTAATGTAATCTGTATTTTTATTCTGTCTAGACGTTTGAGGTATTTTATTATATTATTGAACATTAATATGGTCTCGGCTTTCTGTTGAGAACATGAAATAGCTCTAATAGACAAGATTCTATTCAATTTGACTGAACTGATGGATTGTTCAAAATGGAAAGAAGATATTGCACATTGTGTCTACATTTTATCACATTTACCTTTTGCGGAGAGTGGGAAGGATGTTTTGGATTTTTGACCAAAAAGGAAATTACACAAACATCTGTAGCAAAAATGTATTCAATAAACTGGAAACACAAACAGTGCGTTTCATTTTTTTTTCACCTCACAAGAACACTAACCTACCTTAAATAGTCCTGGTTTTTAATTGAGGCGAGTTGAAAAGTCTCAATATGAGAAAGACAGTGCATGCTGTTTAAGTCCCCCCTACTGGGGATGTAGACTTCATTTCTCTCCGTTAGTGAGGTCTTTTGGCTTCTTTGTGAATTTCCCATCATCTCTCCTCTTCCTCTTTCCTTTAGTGTTTGCCTCTTCTTCTCTGAACTGATGCCTGAGGAGAAAAAAAAGGGTCTACATGCGCATCAAATTGATGGTGTTAACTGAATCAGTTGACATACATTAGCCTGTGCATATTGATAAATGCATTAAACTGCTAGCTGGATATTTTCATGTGGCTGCTTAATAAACAACAAGCCTTAAATTTATAAAAATGTCATTCAAGACTATTAAATGTTAAATTGTAATGAATTTATAATGTGCATACAAAGAAAGCACGTGTGCAGAATGTTTCCAAATTAAAACCAGTATTTCCATTTTCAAACAAATAACATGGTTTAAAAAAACATTTCAACAACTTTATCTATCAAATTATTTATCGTCCACATATAGAAAGGAATGCTTACCTTGCACACATAGCCTTTATGTATGTTACATTTATTCAGATTTATATTTACAAACAATGAATAGGAATGTTTAGAAAACAAACACATATTTGAATAGGATTATAACGTTTAGTACATGTAAAAGATTTTGCTATCGGATTTAATCCATTTCACAAACTGGTACATGTAAACACAGCCAATGAAAACTACATCAGGGTATCCAGTCCTGCTCCTGGGATCTGTTCTTCATACTTGGATCTTTTAATCTTGATAGCTGATCTTTGGCTAAATTAGTTCTTCAAACAAGTTTGTGAATCAGATTAAAATGTCTGGATGAACTGATCTGAGATTGCTGCGTGTGTTGTAAAGGACTGATCTATCAATCTTCGGCAGAGCAGTGTAATGACATCATTGATTAATATTCAATTATCCATGTTAGCAAAATTACATAAAATTGGTAGTAAATTAATTTTATGTAATGCACAATAACTTTACACCTTTGTTGTGAGCTGCAGGCTTTACACTTTCACATGTCAAGTAACTCATAGTAATTTATTTAGTTTTACATTTAGAGCAGATTTTTTATTATAGTAGCCTAGCTATTCAAGTTTCTTAATATATGGTTGCCCCCGTGACAAACGAGATATTGAATGAGAGTATGAACTGCTGGAAGAGTGTTGTTTTAATGGATTTTAAATTTAGTGATTTGTGTGTGTGTGGTCCTTCACTGACTTGGTAGGTGCAGAAAAACAGCTGTGTGTGTATAAACTATTCTGTCCAAATGCGGCGAAAAATCCTACACGACGCTAGTAGTTTGATTGCGGTGTTTACATGTTTGTAAAGAACTTCAATAATGCGACTAAACAGAAATCGAATTAAGACATGTAGAGTATGATGATTTTAGTTCCATTAAGGCCTTAATCAAATATCACTGTTTACATGGTAGACTCTTAATCAGAGTATTGTCTTTATCGTATTAAAATCAGATTATTGGTGTCCATATAAACCTCCTCAATGTTTACCAGCAAAATGTTTCAATTAAACTCTGTTGAAAAGAGGCCTTCAGGATCAGGTCTACACACCCCCAGAACTAATAAATAAAGCTGCTCTAGAGCTCACCGAGACTGCCAGCGCCTGCCGCTGTTCCACACTCGTCCAAAAGATGGCAGCCAGTTGGCATCAGTATGCGAGCTGTGGTCGAAGTTTGCACCCACACGATTAGGCGGAAGCTTCTTTAGTTTCTCCTGCTCCTCTGTGAATCCAGAGCATTTGTAACACTCAGTTATATACAGAACACTTGCAAGAAAACAAAATACATGAACAAAAATTGCACTAAAGAGCTAGCTGTCACCCTCATGTCATTCCTATCCCGAGACCTTCATTCATCTTTGGAATAAAAGTTAATATATTTTAGATGAAATCCAAGAGCTCTCTGATCCTCCATATACAGCATTGCTTAAAACTGTATGGATTAAGTAGCTAGTAGTGTATACTCCACAGTATTCAATGATCAGAAAGACACTATTGAAATAACTGTTTTCTTCTACATCTGAAAAGGGTTTATTATGGGCAATTTGATGCCTGTGTGTGGTGCTTCTGATTTTAACTGTTACCCATAGTAAATATATGATATTAAATAGTTACCCATAGTAAACGCAAACCCTTAGCTGTCATAGAGGGTAAGACAAAAGTTAAAGCAGCTGTTGTTTTTTTGCTTCGTATGATTACAGTTGAACCACTGGAAGCTATGGAAGATTTATAAATAATCTTCATTTGTGTCCTGAAGATGAAGGTCTTAGGGAATGGGAACAGCATGATCATAATTAATTTGGGTGAAGAAACCTTTTTATTTGATTTGTTTACTTGTTAGCCAGCAAACAATGAAAAACCCTTGTTTATGTGTTAGACTCTTAAGGGTGTTGTCTTACAGCAATTGTGTTAATACCAGAATATTGTCATGCACTTTAACATACTGATTGATAGAGAAGTGGTTTGATGGTGAGGCTGAAACACATACTGTGTTTGAGAAACTCCTGCACTGAGGGCTTCATCTCCTGCTGTCCTTCTGAAGCTTCATCACCAGGGTCATCCAGCAGCCACGGCGGTACTGCTCCTACAGTTCAACACAACCACCTCTCCAAGTTAATTCAGCTTATTTCTACAGTGTTTTAACTAAAGCCATGTTTCTATCCATTTATGATTACAGACATTTTGGAATGCTGCATAAAAAAAGCTTTATGAAAACGGCAAGATGCGCGTAAATTTTGAAAATGTGCATAAAGAAACATGGGCACAATAGAGTAGGATACACTTTATCTGTGTTTATTCCTGTCATTTTTCTCATTTTTTAATACAATATCCTAGGCTGCAACATGTGATGCGTCAGCCATTTGCTATTAAAGGAAGGTGCAGCAGAGACTATTATGTATGGGACTTTGTCAGTAACTGTTACAGTTCACATGGACCAGTTTCTTCTTCCTCCGGATCAAAATTGCTGCCTTGTTTTCTGTAGCTTGCACATTATGTATATAATTGTGTGTTGTAACTTCCAATCACTTATATATTTTAGATCATTTGGCTCTCACTCTGTGCTACTTCATAGCCGTTTCTCTCTGTCTCACACTAAACCCAGTCAACCAATCACAATAGACTGGGTCATCGCAGATTAGCCTCACACAAAGGAGAGGTTTGGGTACAAATAAAAATCGCAGAAGAATTCATATGGGAGTCGTTGGGATAATTAAATAAAAATAAATGCATATTATAAGACAAAAAAAGTGTTTTTGACCATGCATGCACATCAGCCTGTTTTGGAGACCCCCAAAACCAAAATATGATCTTTGCATAATAGGGGCTCTTTAAGTAAGTCCGTCATCTTAGTGGTTCCGCATTATTACCTCCAAGAACAATCTTGAGCAAAAGAGCTCCTAAAGAACAATCTTACGCCTCCAAAAGCCACTGCACATTCACTATTTTGCTCCTTAGTTATCTGAGGTGCAAGTAATTAATTATAGTAAAAAAGGCCCACAGTGACTTCTCCTAATGCCGTAAATGGTAACAGTTTATCAGTAAGTGACAATTTTATTCTCTTAGTCTGGTGCTTAGCAAATATTTTATGCACTATTCACGTTATAAATATATAAATATAATTTGGATAGAAACAGTTAATGTCAGTAATGTCATATCTACTTTACATAAATGAACAGAAAAAGAACAAAAGCCATAACAATATTTCAGATTATGGACCATACTCTGCATGAGGCAGGAAGCGGAGTACATGCACTTTACCTCCTTAAAGATTAAAAGCATTCATTTACCTGTATGAACATTTCCACTGCTGGAAGAGTCCTGCAAACAGACACCAAACAAAAATGATGCTTATCTTTGTTTATGAATCTACTCAATAGCTGTTGCCTGTATAAAGTGTTAAACTGATCACCTGGTAGCCAACGAAAGTTAAGCTGAGTCCTGGTTTCCTCCACTGACTGTGCAGATCCTCATGGCTCGGTCCCGCCTGTGCCTCTGGTTCATAAGAGCCTCTGTGGGAACTTCTTACCAAACATCAAAACTCATACATTAGACATTACAAGCCCTATGAAAAAAAAAATTTACAACACCAGCATTTAATCACAAAGTATTTCTGCTCATCAGTACTGGAAAAGTAAACATTAGTGCCAGCCAGAAGTTGACATATGCATTATCTTCCATATCTATAAATGTATCACTCCGAAAACAATAACTATGAAGAAAACAGAAATTGAAACAAAAATAGAGACATTTAGACATTTGGTTGGTACCCTTTTGTTAACAACAAGTAGGGGGATGCACAAATCATTAAATAAAAATGATAGACTGATCCCTTCTGCAAAGTCTAACAAATATCAAATACAGAAATCTACTGAACATGCCAGAGATTCTAAATCATTCAAGTCTTATATGGAAAATGTATTATGTCTTTCATTGATTCCAAGTTTATATATATATATATATATTTATCACACAAGTCTCTCTGCCAACTAGGTCTGAAATGACAATGAAAAATACAGTAAAGCAATGGTTCTCAAACTTTTTTTTATTTTTTATCATACCTTTTTTTATATATACCTATTAATGGTATAGCGTGGACTGAGATCTGTTCAAAAACGTTAGGTGAAACGCCAGTGTGGATGTGGATCATTCTTGTTCTAAAATACGGTTTTAAAACTAAAACATATTTGTATAAACGGGGCCTAAAATAGCAGTTTTTCTGTGATTGACAGCCTGGGTTAGAGATACGCAATAGATTTTAACCTAAACACACTGAAATAAATCGTCACCTTAGAATTATAAGGTTCTATCTGACATTTTTGTCAAAATTGAGTTTATTGACATTCTTATAAAATGACAACTTATTTATATTATGGGATGGGTTTTTTTAAGTTTACATTTTAAGACTTTTTATTTAAAAAACTCATCATCTCAAAATCATTTAGAATGCAGATAGAACCCTGTAATTCCAAGGTGACGAAGTGTCTGCAGCAATTATTACAATTTCACTAGTCTTCAGAGACACACGATCCTTCATAAATCATTCTTACATTCTGATCCAATGCTTAAAGTATTTTTTTTTCACAGACTTACCATTTATCAATTTCACAAACTGTTAAAATTTCATCTGAAGAATTTGGTAATATAAAAAAATGCCATTGCTGTTACTTTTGATGATTTTAAATGATTACTGTTGTATAAGAAGCATTCATTTGTTTAATTGTATATACATATTCTTTAAACTTCCTAAACTGTCTGCAGACTTGCTATAAATGTTGGAGAATGTTTTAAATTATAGGAGTATTGGTGCATCCCTAAACTCAGGATAGCATTGATAATTCTAACATAGATTTTACCTGGATGTGTGTGCATTGCTGTAGTGCTCCAGTTCAGCAGGTTGCTCCAGTTCTGGATCAGGCTAAGTTTGATTCAGGAAAAGTCAACAGTAATGGTCCATTTGTCTTTTTAAGAATTACTCTATCAAACATGTACTCTTTTTTTAAAAATAGCAGAGCCTAAAAATAAACATTTATCCATCAAAATAAACCAAAAGAGAAGATTAGTGAGATGTGGATACGCTTGGAGCATCGCAGGAAAACAAACCTCTGATAGTGATTGGAGGAGCTCCAGCCTGTGCTGCTCCTGAGAGCGAATCACCACAGCCTGCTAAAGATCAAGAAGAGTACAAACTTTTACTTATACATTAACCTTTACTGTTCACAATGTGCACAACAACAGCTCTCTTTGCTTCAGCAGCACATTATTCTGCGTTAATATGCTTCAAATTACATCAATGCTTTTCTTAAGAAATGGCAAAAATGCTCAAATGGACCATGCAACTTTTACTGCAGAAAACTCAAACAGATTTTCATTCTTGTTGAGTAAATTTTACTAAAGAAAATGCTTTTACAGTGAGTATTGGTTAAATGAATAATGAGCTGATTTATTACAGTACGGAAGGGTTTTTTTTCGACTGTGGACAGAAAAAACATAGTTTTTTTTTTTTAATGATCAATCATTGGTAAATGTAAATACAAATTAAGACTTTAAATTTAATTTAAAATATGAAATTAAAGGAACAGTTCACACAATGATCAGAATAATTTGAACACAAATGATATTATGAACAACTTTGGTAAATGACAGCCATTGGGCTCAATCATATACCCAGCGCAATAAGGCGCAAGACGCGTTTCTATGACTTGTCGCTATTTTTAGACCATAATTTTCCCGTCTTTCCCCACATTGTTTAAATTGCAAATCCATTTGCACCACTTTGTGGACTAATGGGTGTTTTGGTCTTAATAAGAGGCGTGTTAAGGCGCATTGCTGGCACCTTAAAATAGCAAAAGTCCATTCAAACACGCCCTTAATGCTTTTGCGCCCTGCGCTTTGTGCCTAGGTCGTTAAATAGAGCTTATTGACTCTTTTTTATTTACTACTGTGAAAGTTAATGGCTACCGGTTTCAGATAAAGACAAATTCAAAAGATTGGAAGGTGAGTAACTCAAGTACTCACTTTAGAGTGAGAAAACTGAATGAATTTTCAATTTGGGGTGAAATATCTTGTTAACAATAGTGTAAAGCTAAACATTGATTAGAAGAGCAGTGTGGAAACGTTTGAAAAATCTTTACCTGTTTAATAAAAACATCCTCTTTTTCCTCAAACTGTTTAAGAGCTTTGGAAACCTCAGACTTGAACCTATAAAAAAAGAATGCCCCATTAATTTATATTTTACAACATAATTTATAATATCAATTTATGAAAGCATTGTTTTCAAACACAAACTACCTCTCAGTGTCCTCTTGTGTTATGATAAACTTGTCTCGTAGTTTGGGATCTGCTTTATTGTCCCACCAGAACTTGTGTGTGTTTTTGCGGTGCTCTGGGCTGGAATGAGAAGCGCTGGGTGAAATCTCTGTAGAGTCTGTATGTGTTTTTTCAGTGTTTTCAGGCATGATCTTACGTGCTCATGTGTTCTAGCAGTCCTCCATAAAGCACAGTGATGTTACTGTCAGTCACGTGTTTCTGAACCTCCAGCGCGCAGCAGTAACACCAGAACTTCACGTCATGATGAGGACCGTATTTCTCCACCTGAGGACTTTTAAAAGTCCGCCTTGCTTCTTTGACCTGGAACAACATCAGATAGTGTTGAATACATTTTGGGGGTAAAAAAAACATGAGAGATCACATTAAAATTACTGTCGGCTCTCTAGATTTAAATGAATAGGTATGTCATATGTGTTTTGAGTAAAGGTGTTAGATTTAAAAAAATAATAATAATTAAAAAAAATGTATATATATATATTCAAAATGTCAAATAAAAATAGTATCATTTAGATCATTTCAATTATAGACATTATTTTTGTATTAAACAAAAATGAAATTATTTAGTAATGGGTTTCAGTAACCAATATATGTGTTTTAGACAAAACTCTAGAAACGTATTTGTAACTGACATTTATTAGAAATTTTATCAAGCCTTTATAGAATTCATATCTAATAAATTTAGAGAAACGATAATGAAGAACAGTTGCTGTTATTTAGAGCCGTTTTTTAATAAAATTACTTTGTTTTCTGATGTGCTATTCATTATTACATGATACAACTAATGTCACTTTATTACAAAAAGAGTTTTTTTTATAATTAATAAAGTCTGAAACTATGGAATTTTATATTGACCTATCGTCATATTAGACAGTGGCTCCAAATAGATTCATTAGTTATTGTGTCCAATTTATAGTTAATGTGTCTTTTGCAAAGGGAAAAAGAAGCATTAAGCGTCGTCACCATCGCCAAACCATTTTTTTGTGAAATAAATCACTTACCCGACCTCGCATAGATACAATCATCAAAAATAACTGTTTTGTTGCTTAATGCCCGTCAGAATTGGGAAAATAAACGCTACCATTAAGTTGAAATTGTAACTTTAGAGCCACTGTGGCTGCATCTTAAGCTAATAGCTGGCAGATTAGCACACTCACCTTCTCCGTGAATTTGACAAGAATTATTTTAAGTTTGCTCTGGTGGCTTTTCCCAAAAATGTGTCCTTTTCCAGAAAAGTCCGTTTTTCCGCAGATGGAGCAATAAAATGGACCCATTTGTCTGCAAAGAGTTCGTTTCTTCAGCGAAAGCCCACGCTAACATTCGCGTTGTATTTTCCAAACAGCGACGTAATGTGCCGTTCAGTCTGTAGTGACGCCGTCTGGTGGTTGGGATGAATAAATGCGTTTTCCCCTTCAAGGATACTATTGCCTTCATTGAAGGAATAGTTCACCCTAAAGCCCCGGTCAGATTACACGATTTTTTTTGTCGGTTACGAAAGTCAATATGTCAGATTATGCGATTTTTTCTTGATAAAATCGTGACTTGTCGTGGGTAGCAATTGTGCCACACGTTCCTTCACGATCAGTCATCCTGTGACGTCTACGACAAGTGTTATTTCCCAAGCAGTCACACAGGTTGCTATAACAATATTTTTTATTTAATTTTTAATATGATAAAACGAACAATATTCTGCCATAATTTATTCATCTGCCATCACAACCTTTACCCAACCATGTTGTTTGAGCTTAGTGTCATCCCAGATGGAAAGTCAACATTTTATTTACTAACCAGAGATTTCAAACAAGACAATGTACAACAGTTTCTAAATTAATGAAATAAATCACCAACTAACACAGTGTAAACACACAGGTGTCAAACTCAGTTCCTGGAGGGCCAGAGCTCTGCAGTGTTTAGTTTGAACTCTAATTAAACACACTTACTAAATAATTCAGCAGGCTTGTTGAAAACCTACAGCTAAAGCTGCGGTGACATATACTGCACTTTTTTCACCATAGACTTCAGGATCAAAACTTGACCTCTCTGTACAGAAATTTGAAAAATGGAGCAATCGCTCACTTTTTTAAATGTCTAATCATTTTGTTTAAGCCCCTTTTCGCAGCAATACGACAGACTCTGGTGTGACCACAGCTTTAAGCTGAACAAAAAAAACACAGAAACATGTTACATGGTCTATTAAATGTCCAACTTATATTTAACTGAATTGTAAACAATGGTAAAAATTGTTCATTTTATTAAAAAAAAAAGTGTTTTTTTTTGAGGAAAAACAATACTGGCATTTAAGAATCCATATTTATTTATTTTAACTCATTAATTTCACATGATTATTGGTGCATATATTTTCTATAATTTAAATCATACAACAGTACATTGGACAGTACAGTGCCAGTAAAGCTTTCAAATAAAAGTCCAAAAAGTAAAGGAAGATTTGACTTTCTTTGGTGATGGCCGACATCACAACATGCCGTAACTGTCCTTCAGGTGGTATAGCCGGCATTAAAACAAGCCTTCTGGCTTGACTGTAATGCAGTTATTTCCTTGTTGCTATTGACATTTTGTGTTTCATTAATATAGGATGTTGTGGATTGTGGACATCGATGATGTTAAGCATGTGTTTATTCAATGCGCAGCAGAAAAAAAGTCTTTCAGTAGTGCATGTAGCTGTTGGTAAAGTTCTCGCCCAGATCAGAGCGAGTTTTTGTGCCAAATACAGCGCTGCATGCAATAAACTCACTCAGTCAGACAAAGTAAAGGTCTCATTGCCTAGGATGTTGATCAAATTAATCAAGCTTTAGCCACAAATAAAATAGGCTATTTTATTATTTTAAGATTTTAGATGACGGGTTAGTAATTTTTATTATAGTTTTATCCAAGTAAATGAAATAACTTTAATAAATAAAATATGTTCGTAAGAATGTGGTGCAGTGAGACTGCTCTATGGTTTCAAAACCATTTTCAAACTGTATTGTTTAGACCTGTATAATTTTTTTTATATTAAATGTAGTGTTCACTTTTGGATGTCTGATAACTAGCGCGCTTCCGCTAAGCTAGCTGTGGTAGCTTGGCAACAGAGCCACAACGTCAACACACAGAGTCTGTTGGCACAGTTCAGCACGGAGAATTTCAGGCCGAGAATGGTTTGCAATCGTAACATGCCGTTCCAGGGTCAGTGGAGAAGCAACCGTAACCATACCGAACTGTTCTTAGAATGATTTTGGCATGATAGTGGAGGCAGCTGTAGCAGGCAGCTGTAGTGTATCCTGTATAATAATCTATTTAAATTATGTCATAAATAAGTAAATAAAAGGCGGAATTAATTCTCGCCCTCTCTGGGTAGGTACGCACAGTGCGTACAGCCGTAAAGCTGCCAATAGTATCTAGATGCAGCCTTTATGATGCAAGCTGCATCACTGCCCATGGACTCCCATATAAAACACACAACTGCGTCAGACCGGAAACGCAAGCTTGTGCAACAAGTTTTGCAGTTTGCTGCGTTGCAAAGTTCAAACTTGGTGAACTCTGACCTGCGAAATCACATCACTTGACTGCATGAGACCAATCGAGGATCAAAACATGACCTCTCTGGACAAAAATTTAAAATATAGAACAATCGCTCACTTTTAAAAAGTTTAATTATCTTGTTTAATTTTCCCCGTTTCGCAGCGACATATGCAGAATTTTGCAATCTAAGAAGCAGCTAGGGTTGGATCTGTTTAGGGCTGCAGCCCTCCAGCAACTGGCTTTGACACCCGTGAACTAACACAGTATATCAGGACGTGGCACAATCATCCCCATTGAGAAATTTCCAACATTAGAACCGATAACTCCTCCCCTTCATCATCAGCTTCTTTGTGGGTAAATCTGCAACTGTTGTGAGCAAAAGTGCTCAATAGTCCACACTATTTGAATTTTAAGTGTGAATGTACTACTTACTGTATTCCATTTATACTACAAAATGGTGTAGAATAGTGCATAAGTATAGAGTTTGGGACACAGCTCTTGTTTTGTGTTTATTTAGAAGGAAAAAAAAATCAAGTGAATCTAAACTTTATGATTTCAATTAAATGAGGAACTTTTCGGGTGAACTAATCTATTTGAAACTTAAACACTACCTTCAAACAGCGCATCTACATTCCACACACACACACACACACACACACACACACACACACACACACACACACACACACACAGACACACACACACGTCACATGAGCTTTTGGAAATCATTATAACTAGTTTGATGCTCTGGAAAAATATTATTATTATTATTATTATTGTCAGCAATAACTAAATCAAAAGTGACAGAAACAACAAGTATGAAGTTAAAGACACTAAATGCTAAGAACACATAAATAAATCACACAAATATACACATAGAGCACTCCTTTTGGCTACATTAACAAAACACAAGCTACAATAACATGTTGATGCATTTATATTTATTTTATAAGGCATTTAAACCACAGAGGAAATGAAAACAGACACAAAAAGAAAATTACATAACAATAATAGTAATAATAATAATAATAATAATAATAATAATAGAGGAAAAGATGCAAACATTCACAAGCTTGTGAAGGGGAAAAAAACGTTGGCAGGTTCATTTCTCCAGCCTGATGATGTGATTGGTGGATCACAGCTCTAACAAGGCTGGAATCATATCTGTAAGACAGAGATTGTGTGTAGAGTGAAATGAGTTCAGCATCAGCTGTGTGTGTGTGTGTGTGTGTGTTTGTGTGTGTGTGTGTGTGTGTGTGTGTGGGTGGGTGGGTGGGGGGTTGGGGGGGGATGTGTTTGCTAAAGACTGACCGGGGTAGTTCATACTCCTCCTGAGCAACCTAAAGGAGTCCTCAGTCAGAGTGTGGATCTCGTCTCTCAGTCTCTGCCGTCCATCCAGCGTCAGGTGCCACAGACAGGACTTTCTCTTTCCATCTCCAGAGACCTGCTGAGGTGTCTTTTTGAAGCTGTTGCTGAAGCACAGGTTATGGCGGATTGTGTTCTTCCACCCATCCGGAGCAGTCAGAAAAAAGGGGAAGTGCTCTCTAGAAAGGCAGAGCAGAAAAAAAGAATGATCAGAGGCAGGGAATGAATTGGTGATTTTTTTAATAACAATTGTTTGTGTTTTTACACTGTATTAAAAATGAAATTTAAATAAATTATGATTAAAACTATTTATGCACACCCACAACTTGTACAACTGTTACATTTTATCTGTATTGATTGTTTAATTCATATGAATTGTATTTCATATTCATTTACTTACCTATTTAAATATTAGTATAGTAATAATATCCTATTTTAATATATTAGTATAGTAATATTATTATATTTAAATAATAATTAATATAAAATAAGACCAAATACATTTCTCAACTATCCTACAAATAAAGTTAAATAATAATTTAATAATAATAATAATAATAATAATAAATACTTTAAAATAAATAATTTTGTATTATTAATTATGTTTGTCCTCCTTTAAAAAGTATTTTGAAACAGAATTGTTTTATTTGAATTAAAATTAATCAAATAAAATATTAAAATGTAACTATTTGTTTATTATAATTATTTTATTAAATATATTAACATAAATATAAAAAAGAACATTAATAAAGTAAAATCTAAAGTAAATTTATTAATTATAATGTACACATTTCATTCTTTTCAAAAGATTGAGTTTTTATTTTTTATTTTATTATAATATGAAACATTATAATAAATATTAAATATTGTAATATTATATTATATTAATTGGGGGACCAATTAAAATGCTTAAATGGCAAATTATTTAAAAATACATAAAAGTACAAACAATTGAATAAACTACAACAACAACATATTTTACAAATTAGAAATAATAATAAATTGATTTAACTTAACTTTGATTATTGTTTGATTCAAATACAAATATAATAAATGATTTAAATATAAAAAACGTGAAAGGTTTTCTACAATTATTATTCACACACACACACACACACTCTACTGTACCCTGAATCTCTGTTGAATCCCCTTAGCTTAGTGTTTATGTGTAAGCATATGTGTGTGTTTGTGTATGGAGCGCTCGGAGACCTGGTGAAGTTGTAGATCTGCTGAACGTTGAGACTGCCGCTGCGGCTGCTGCTGAGGGCCATGGCGATGAGGATGCAGTAGTTGACAGGAGGTCGAGGCCAGACGCCGCTCTTCAGGCTCATGCTGTCCTGCAGGGCTCTCTGGAGACGTCGGCTCTGAGTCAAACCCAGCCTACGAGTGTTTGCCTTCGGGGTCCTTCCCTTACGAGTGCCCTTCACCTTCCGGCAGATTGGCACATCCACAGACGAAGCGTCATCTTCATCTGTCAGCTGAGGTGACA